CTCGTTGATGAGTTTTAGTTAAAAGAGAGAGAGAGAGAGAGAGAGAGAAAGGAAGAGAATAGCTTCCAACTTCAATAATTTCACGCCATATCGATTTACTTTTACAATTGATCGATACTCTACGATCAGTTCGTCGATTAGTTGTTACCGTTTTTGTTATTACAGTCGTTTCTATTTTATTTATTCTATTTACTTATCTTTTATTTCAATGATTATTCTAAAATCGTTAGCAAAGTATTAATGATCCTATATAATCTAATTTTTATTGACATCTAGAAAAAAATTTCATCATATAAAAATTATAATATATTACTTATACTATGTAGTATATTTATATTATACTCTTTTTCTGCCCTCCCCTCTCTCTCTCTCTCTCTCTCTGCCTCTTTAAATTGTTCTATAATACATTACAATCATACTATTTTATAAAAATCAAATTATATTTTAGTATAATTATATCATATATACTAACAATAAGTATTATTTATACTCAAAAGATACGAAAAACTTCGGATACGAAGCAACAATTAATTTTGTGACGGTACAATGAAATAATAGTTAACACATTGTTAACGGTATACTATGAAATGAATCTTATTTCAATTTCCGGACATTTTTATGAAACATATCAAATATACATGTACGTGTTTAAAAAAGGATGCAAATATTTTATTAAGTATTAATTCTTTATTAAAAATTGATGAGTAGAATTAATGATTATATTATTAACATTAAATGTGAATTGCTGTATATAAGTATCTTTCATTTCCAACATTTAAAAGATATCACGTTTCTCTCGTCAACAATTTGTTAACAAATACATTTATACAAGTGTATGAATTTAAAGTTACATAACGTTAGAAAAGGTTAGTAAAAGAAAAAGAAAAGAAAAATATTCTGCAAAATCGTCGAAAATGTTTGTTGTTGTCAGTTCGAACGAAACTTCAAAGTTAAAACGATATCGATCGTTACGCTCGAGTCGATGATAAAGCCACTCGGCTCGCCAATTAAGTCCTTGGGGTGTCATTAAACAAATGCCGGACTCGTTAATGCTGTGAAATGCTGGAGGAAGTACGCGGCTGGCATAGTTTAAAACGAGGAAACGGACGTGAAAAACGACAATTACCAGTGTGCTGCATGGTGAGCGCCGTTATCGCGTCAGGAAACCGACTGGACTGGGACAATAACGAAATTGTTACATAAAATTCATCCTACCGTACGACGCTTGTCAGACCACTCGGTACTCTAATGGTGTTATATGAAAATTTCGTCCATGTTTTTATTCTTCTCTCTTTCTTCTTTTGTTTTCATCATCAATTTTCTTCCTCGTCCTGAATTTGATTCGTATTACGAAATCGAATCTTAGAATCGAATCTCTTTGAAAGTATGATTCTTTTGAAATTATCTCGACGTATATATATATATATATATATATATATATATATATATATATATATCCATATACGTATATATTAAAAACTATCATAAAATGAATATTATTTAATGCTGTATTTACGAGCACTGATTGTATATCTACTTTTATTGAAATTAAAAATGTAGTTTCTTTTTTTTCATTATAACATTATTTCATATCATTACATCAGTCAAAGTCAACATAAATTGCTAGAAAATAATATTTATGATTCCTCTAACTTCAACCATGAAATTTGAAATACGTCAAATTGACCGGATCAGCAAATTTAACGTTAAATGATAAATATTACGATGTATACACGTTGTTATTATTTATATAATTAATTCTAATTATTCGATTGATCTGTTCTAACTATGGATTTATTAAAACAAAAAAAGAAAAATAAATAAACAAGAAGAAAAAGAAGAAAAATAATATTCGGAAAAGAATAATGCAAAAGATAATCGATGTCAAGGTTTTCGTTATCGAACATCTCATTGGTTCAAAGTTTAAGAGCATGCATGTACTTGCTTTATACATATTTACACAAAGAAAGAGACTTACGGTAAGTACGCGAGTCCGTCTAATCGGCATCACGTGATTATCAAGTACGGCCTTTGCTTCGCACAATCACGAGAAGTCAAACGCGGTAGTAGACATTAGCATAATGATCATGGATAAGGGAAGCATACGATGTGTCCTGCAATCATAATTCTCTCTCTCTCTCTTTCTCTCTCTCCCTCTCTCTCCCCTTCTCTCTCTCTTTCTCTCTCTCCCTCTCTCTCCCCCCCCTCTCTCTCCCTCTCTCTCTCCCTCTCTCTCTCTCTCTCTCTCTCTCTCTCTCTCTCTCTCTCTCTATCTCTATCTTACTACTTTTTCCAGGAGGAGAAAGATCAGAATCGACTCCGCGTGCGAGCTTCGCAGTGAAGAAACGAAAGTGCCGTTCTATGAAGAGAAAATAAAGAAAAAAAGGAAAAAATAAAAATTACAAAAAAAAAGTTAGACGGAAAATAAACATACATATATACATACATACATAGATACTACACACGTTAAACGTACGGAAGCGAAATTGTCCGTATGTTCTTTCGAGAACCTGGAAGATGGTAAAATAAAATAATCGTCAGCTATTATCCATTACACATACAAATATACACAGATACCTATTCGAAGAGAATCGCGTATTCCTCGTTCGCACATACAAAATAATTATACATACATACACACGCGCGGGCGAACACATACGGGCGCGCGCGCTTAGCTTTTGTGAGAACCCATGCAATTACCGAGCTAGCTAACATTCTACTGCCTTGCATCGTGTCTGCTACCTTCTTCATAACGAATTAATTTAGATGTCTTAATTGCGATCGGTTAATTGTTCTGGAACGCGATGCACTCGTATTAGACACATGCACGAGTTAATGCCGTGCAGAGGAACGAAGTTTTAGAGGTGTTGGTATATAGCACAGCTACTTCCGAAGACACCCGGAATCTTTAAAATCGGATTACATTGCTTTCACCGAGTTCCACGCTCCCGCGACCAACGATCGTTCATTAAATTGTCCTATTTCGTGAAATACCGTCGTACACGTCGAATTATATCGCGATCAAAAAATATCCTTAATAATATTTCAAGATTTTTAACGAATCGCATCCATGAATATTTCTTTTTCATTTTTGAATTTGCCTGACAAATTTTTAAATCAAAATCCCGGCGCAAAGCATAAGATTATAAAATTGTAATATCAGAAAAAAAGAAGGAAGAGTTATATCACGAATAATGATATTTCAAGATTTTTAATAATTCACTTCGATGAAATTTTTTGTTATTTTCGAACTATTCTTTACTATATATATATAACTAATAAAATTAGGTATAAAAAAAGGTATAACTAATAAAATTTTGAATTCGAATTTCCGATAAAATTATAGAATCGTATTATATAACTCATGAAATAAAAAAAAAAGATAAAAAAAATTATACCATGATTAGAAAATATGCTTAATGGTAGAAATTAAAGGATTTTTAATAATTCACTTCGTTTTTTGTTATTTTCGAACTATTCTTTCCTGGCATAACTGATAAAATTTTGAATTCGAATTTCCGATAAAATTATAGAATCGTATTATATAACTCACGAAATAAAAAAAAAGATAAAAAAAATTATACCATAATTAGAAAATATGCTTAATGGTAGACATTAAAGGATTTTTAATAATTCACTTCGTTTTTTGTTATTTTCGAACTATTCTTTCCTGGCATAACTGATAAAATTTTGAATTCGAATTTCCGATAAAATTATAGAATCGTATTATATAACTCACGAAATAAAAAAAAAAGATAAAAAAAATTATACCATAATTAGAAAATATGCTTAATGGTAGACATTAAAGGATTTTTAATGATTCGCTTCGATAATTTTCTTTTTCATTTTTAAATTATTCGCTTACTCATTTGCTCGACAAATTTCGTATTCTAACTTCCGGTGTGAAGTAAATGACTATAAAATTGTAGAATTGTGTTGTATGAATCACGAAAAGAAAAAAGAATGAGAAAAAGTAAAAAATATCCTTAATGATATTTAGCCCTTTACAACTCAATTTTTTCTCATTTCTACAGAGATATTATAGAATCTAAAAATGATAGTATTATTAATACTAGAAGTATTAAACTGTATCCACTAAATATAATATATATTTAAAAAATATGAATAACTTCGGATATGAATTAACAATAATATGAAATTGTATTAATAATATGAAATAAAACTTAAATAAATACAGAAATAGAAACGTTTGACTCATGTAAAATTACATGAGATTATAAAGGGTTAAAGATTCTTACGAATTAACTTCGATGATATTACTAATAGAAGAAGCAACGATTTTTACATAAAGAAATTTTTCCAATAGGGAAATATACGTATTCGATTAATTTTGCGAATTAGTATATTTTTCATTTTTTAAATTAATCACTTTCTCGCTTCCTCGATGAATTTCGAATTCAAACTTTTTGCAAGAAGCAAAGGAGTATACAATTATAAGATTGCTTTGTATAATTCACGAAGAAGAAAAGAAATAGAAGTAGAAACAAAGTATAAATCTATCAAGGAAACGATAACGTTAAATGCGTACATGGAGGCGATTACGAACGGCACATTATTCTCGCTTTTCTCCTGGGAAAGTTAACGCATCGAGCGTGTTAATTATAATGAGCGTTAAGTAACCGCTCGCGCACTCACCTCGTTGTTATATGGCCATTCGCCATTATCGTTTGTATCCGTAGCATTCGCGTTGGTGTCGGCAGCGCAAGAAAATCGTGCGCAACACAGTCCAGTCCAAACCCTGCGTCGCATCGGTGAAAGCAGTTTACAGGCTTGTTACTTATCGCGATGAACCGCGTTAACGGGCTAATGCACGAGAAATCATATATTTTGTTTAACCCAGCTCTCAAGTCTCTACGTGGATTTTCATTACTTGACTAAATCTATGCACGCGCGAAATTTAAACCTGGAAAACTTGGAAAACTTCGTCAAAAGAAAAAGATACATATATATATTTTTTCTTTGTTTTTTTTTTTTCTTTATTTTCTATTAAGATTTCAATTGAAAAAGAAAGAAATCACAATTTTCTTGTTCAAAACGTCGATTTTTATAAGAATTCGAATACGTCCTTGATGTCGTTCGATGAGATTAGTTTGAGATTAATACGTCGCCAAGGACGTTCAATATTGGAACAAAGGAGTTTTGTCCCTCGCAAATTTTATGCTCCCTACGTCGTTCTCCGTCATAACGTAAAAAAAAAAAACGTATGTAACGTTGAAATGTCCACGTTGTAATGTGACGTATAAACGCGAAAATAACGAGGTCCGAGGAAGAGTGAGAGAAGTAAAAGAGTAAACGTGAAGGGTGTGATAGGTCTATGGCTTCTTCACACGCGAGGTCAATAAAACGGTTTTCATGCTACTCTTTACTTTTACGAAAGCCGTCGATCAGCTGGATTTTTAATACGTATCCACGATGGATTTCAATCGATCGAGTATAGAATAATAGGAATTAAAAAGAATCGCAAGTTTTTTGTAGAAGTATCATTGGAATTTTCTCGAGACTTGCGATTCATCATACGTGCGCACGCTTATGCTTATACATATCGAGAGAGGGAGAGTGAGGGGGAGGGGAAGAGCGAGAGAGAAAAGAAGAGACCTCAGGAATCTTTCGACCTCAATTTTCGAGGCTTACGGCGCAGCCGACGCGGCGGATCGATGCCGATTCGAGGCGTGAAATCCAAAGGCAACGAGCGAGATATTCACGGTAATGACTCGTAATAAGCGCCGGAGCGCGGCGGCCAATGTAAACGATCGAAAAAGTCGTTAACTGGTCGGAAATCGGTAATCACCTGGAATAATCGACTCCTCTTGTAAGTGCTTACGTTTTTATACGTCGCGGTGTTAGAAAGAAATCGAGGCCGGTCGTGCATACCCCGTGAAGGTGGATATGTGTTAAAAAAAAAAAAATTAAAAAAAAAAAATAAAAGGGGGAAAAAAAATACAAAAAAAGAAAGAAGAAACAGAAAAAAGAAATAAGAGATGACGAACGAAGGAAATTAGAAAGGAAGAGATAGATAGATAGGGAGATCATTTTTATTTCGCCGT